GCCGGCACCCAAAATCCGTCATGTTGTCTGGTACTTTTTTTTGGGGCGACTCCTGCACCGAGGCATTGACTTCAATTTGGTCACTGGGGCGGTTGACGTTTGCTTGCCTGGGGTTTTGCGTGTTCACGGCCAGGCCTACGGCCATGCACGACCGGTCCTGCTTTCTTTTCGACTTACGCCTCCCTCCAACCACACAAAGTCCCAATGCGCGCGCAGCTTAGTCCGCGCGCGCCCGGCACCACCGCCTAGGCCGTCCCGCCGAAGCCGCTCGCGGCGCCGCCGTCGAGGAACCAGGTCGCGGCGCCGTCGGCCGCGCGGACGCGGGCCGCCGGGTAGGGCGCCGGGGGGTCGGCGTAGGCGTAGGCCTGGGCGTCGGGCGAGAGGCGCATGATCTCCGCGACGACCTTGGCCTTGGACGCGCCCGTGCAGACGAAGGCGACGTGCCTCGCCTCGCGGAGCGTCTTCAGCGTGAACCTGGCGACGGCGGTCGCGCGGAAAAAAGACGAGGAACGCGGGTCGACGCGCGTGACGCGCTCCGGCGGCGGCTTCGGCGAGTCCGCGACGACCGCGGCCACCGCGCCGTCCGCGCGGTCCATCTCCGGGTGGCCCGGGAAGAGCGACGCCGTGTGGCCGTCCGGGCCCATGCCCAGCAGCGCGAGGTCGAAGAAGCCGCCGCACCTAGAAAACGCGCGCGTCGCGGCGCCCGCGACGCGGCGCCGCGCGGGCCGACGCGCGCGGCGAGCTCCGCGGCGTAGGCCTCGGCGGCCTTCTCCGGGCCGAGCGACACCTACGGGCCGCGCGCGTCGTCCGGCGCAAACGCCATCGATGCCGCGCGCCGCGGCGGACGTCGAGGGCGTGGATGCGCGGCTTCTGCGCGGCGATCTTGTCGAAGAGCGCCTCGGTGCACGCCTTAAGGTTCGAGTCGTCGCTGTCCGCGGGCACGCAGCGCTCGTCGGCGAAGAAGACGTCCCAGGACGCCCAGTCGATGCCCTTGTCCAGGAGGCCGCTCAGCAGCTTGGGCATGGACCCGCCGCTCAGCGCGACGACGAAGCGCGGCTTCGTCGACGCCGCGGAGAGCTCGGAGACGTAGGTCGCGAGCCGCTCGCGCAGGACGTCGCCGTCGGCGACGATGACGCGCGCCATTGGGCTGCGTGTCTAGGAGCAAGCCTGCTTCCCGCGCGCGGAGTTTCGCGCGGCGGCCGTTGCGTCTGGCAACCGAGTGGCGGCTCGTGCTCGAGAGCTCGATGCCGCTCTCCGCGCCAGCGGCGGGTGGCGGTGGCGCCGCCGGGCCGTCAGGACGGCCCGCGACTCGTCCCGCGAGGCGTCCCGCCCCCCCCCCCCCCCCCCCGGGTCGCCTCCTCCCCGCTAGTTATCGAGGGCGAGGAAGGGGCACTTCTCGAGGGCGTCCGCGGCGGAGAGGCGCGCGTCCGGGTCGATGGTGAGGAGGCCCGCGAGGAGCATGTGGAGGTGGTCGTCGCGGCCGCAGTAGTCCCGGAGCTTGGGCATGGCGCGGACGTGGTCCCGGCCGTCGCGCGGGAGCACGGCCTCCCACTTGGAGCGCGCGTCGCCGTCGA